ATGGGATGCATACGAACGGAAGAAGAAACCGCATTTGCAACGCTTATATCATATGAAACGGTGGATGGCAAAAATTACATAGGCGCCGACATCCAAACGCAAGGCGAATATGCTGCTCAGGTGCTCGGCTTGAGTGCTGATCATTTGCAGCATGGCACTTTGCATGAGGATTTCGCTTACTTTGGCAATGTGCAGAGGACACCAAATCGCGCTGAATACGAACGGCCGGCGAATGTGGTAAATCAATATTTTCCTTGCATTCAAATGAGCCGCCATCGTCACTACATTATGCTCAAACGACGAATGTCCCTAGCAGTTCATCGGCACAACAGTACTGTGATTATTACAATCGAAATGTTAACGCGACCTTAAATGGCCAATTGACGCCACAACCAAAAGAAAACAAATAGCTCCACGCAGTTACCTAAGGGTATGACACACATGAATGAGGAACCTTCCACAGTTGAAACACGTAAAGCAGTTGCCAGCGGTTCGCCGTATGAATCACTTAATATAAAATCATCATCATTTGCGCATCACAAATTCAAATTGGGACAGATTTCCTATATGAACTCAGCTGCAGCACGCCACGATCTAAATCCACCAAATGAAGCTCAAAAACCTACTTCTAATTTAACTTCTGATAGCAAACAGCACCAAATACAACCATCAGCGACAAGATCGCATCAGTCCATATGATTATGGTATTGCAGCTGGTGGCGGAAGTCATTCGAATGCCCCTTCGATGGCTGATGCCGACGATACTGGTGCCGCTTTAGATTTGCGAAACTCTAACAACATTTGTGAACCCTATATGCTATCATGCGGTACCTCGCGGCAAATGTTTAGAAATGCCTCGCCTAGCAATACAGCCAACCAAGTGGATGTCGGCATACTGGATTTGTCAATGCCAGACAAAAACTCATTGACTGAAGTATGTTATGTTTGTGGTGATGAGCAGCGGCGTGGTAGTCTCATCGAACTCAGTACTGTACGTTCCAAAGATCTGAAGGGTCGCCATCATCCGTACTTTCCCATTTTCAATGAACAGCATCCACGTCCGCCACGTTCACGCCCAAAGGATCCGCGTGGCATGATACAAGCCTGTCAGCTATGCTTTGAAAATCTTATACAACAATGGAACAGCTATCAGGTAAGTCGATGGAGAGAAGGAAATGCAATTGTAGAAACATAATTTATAAATAGCAGAGTTTTTCCAAGTTTTAAGCTTTGATTATAACTACAGTGACCATCCGTCCTGTACTGGATATACCTGTTTTTTGACCAATTGTCCTGGTAATTTATTTATTCTATACAGGACGCCAAATGTTCTGGATTTTTTTAATATCCTGTATTTGTCCCGCATTCGGTGTTCAGTATTTCCACGCTGCATCATAATGGCGTGCTCTATGAAACAATTTTAAGTGATGTTGGTATATGATCGAATTTTCTCTATAAACAGTTATTATTTTCTAATCTGAATGTCTGTGCTTCGAATTGAGGAACACTTACAGTGACCAAAATATAAATTAGGACATCAACATCTTAGCCAGGTTTGGCTATTTTGCTTTTGGTTACGTTAACGTTTATTATTTTTTATGAAGGTAAATCTCTTTTCCATATAAACCATATAAATCAAAATTTCCGACTTTTTGCAAAAACTGTGAAAATTAATTCTGTAAAGTTTCATCAAAATCAGAGTGTTTAGAAGAAAGTTGATTTGCAGTTTTGTAGCTCATTAAAATTTAGTACAAAAATGTGCAACGTTGCTTGGCTCATTTGCTTCCCCATAAACAAAAAAAATTTCTAACATACTAATGAGAATGCTAACATTTTCAACAAAAAAAAGTTGCCAAAAATTAACGGTAAGTCCTAGCTACTTAAGACTTGCACCTTAATAATAATAAATTAACGCTTACACAACACGTTGGCATTTGGCCGAGCTTCTCCTCCGATTTGTGGCGTGCGCCTTGGTGTTTGTCACAAAAAGGGGAGGAACCTACAGTCTTACGCCGACTCCGATCGGCGATTGTATTTTTATGAGACGCTGTTTTTTTATGGCAGCAATACACTCGGAGGTTTACCACTGCCTGCCGAGGCGACGTTGTTAAGAAAAAACCTTTTTTCAAAATCTTTCTGCGATGTTTTGCCCTGCCAAGTGGAAGCGCGCACTGCTTACCACTACACCAGAGTCGGCCGCCACTCTCGTAACCTAACCTAAAAAATCATATGGCACACACAAAATTTTGTTGATACCTTAATTCACCTAACTGGTATGCAGCAGTTTCGACAGCTTGCCGCAAACAACATTATTTAAATACCCCTTTGTTTACAAAAAAATATTTAATTTTCAGCTAAAATGTAAATTTATCAATCCACCAGAAACATTTGTTTAACATTGGCCTTATCTTCCAAGTTATTTTTTAACCGCAACGCAGACCTGCTAGCTAAGCTTATTCCGATGCTATATACACGTGTGTCAAGTTAGCACTACACTTTTCGAAATTGGAAAAGTTAACTACGGCATTAATTGTAGTGTTTTTGTTGTAAATTTGTTGTGGAAAGAAAAAATTTGTAGCTCTCGTTTTTTAATAAAAAATGGTA